TCTCTAAAAACCGTTTGGCATCCTGATCTATTCTCACACTTAAATGATGGTCATTGGGGTGAGGCACTGAATAATTAGAGACATTCTGAAAATCCAAACCCAATGAGGGAATACACATTCAAGATGGATTATAGAAAGAGTTAAGCTGTCTTTTACACTTCCTTCAGGACATTTAAAAAAAAATAAAAAAAATATTTGCATGCTGATTTTTATTTAGGTTTAGTCAGTATAAAACTCGGACTTAGATTGGAAATTGACTTCTCTTAGCTGCACAATCCTTTCCTAACTATTTGAGCCTCAGACAATAATAGACAGAGTTCCAGTTTTATTTCAAATATGAGCTCATACACAACAGAACTTTCTTCGTATTGACATATTTTTGTATCACCAGTATTAATCAATCTCTTGGAGGGCACTCCTCCAATCTGTTCCAGAAAAACCGCAAATTCAACTCATTTTCCATGTGTGAAACCTAAAGTTATTTGGGAATTGTGTGATTATATACATTGCTGCAGGATATCAGATAAGATTTTTTGATCACGTTTCTCAATTTATTCAGGCACAGCAGAAGCCTTAATCTACATTGAATTTTGGCTTTTTAGTAATTGCAATTAGACTTCAAACATTAAACTTCAGACTGCTATTCAAGGAATAACACTTCATAAAAGGTGACAAGTGACATGCTTGCATTTAATTCAGCATTTCAGATTTCACAAACATTACTTTGAATGATACAAGTTTCCACCACTAGAATTAGAAGATAACTTAAATACATAAAATATTAAATTCAAAACTTGTTTTTCCTCAAAATGTTTTGAATTCAAACAGACTATACAGCACTGAAACATTGAGTGAAAAACAATTTTTAACTTCAAAAGAATCCAAGTAGACTCCCAAGCATCTGAATGTTCCTTCTTCCACCAGAAGTACATTGAGACAGAACTTTTGCTCCTACACGAACTTGGCAAGCATTTCTGGCTTCAGGTCATTTACATAAACTGGGGAATCTCCCAGTAATATCTCTGCTTAAGGAGTGCTGCACAGCAGCATAAAGGCAGCACATAGGGTACAGTAGCAGAGCAGCTTTAGTAACATAGCAGCTGCATTGCTGGATTAACAATCTACAGGCCTGGAAACAAAGAAAACATGACCAGAAGCCGCATCATAGCGGTAAGATTTTCAAATCAGGTCAAAACGAAAGTTGGAAATAAAAGATAGTATCTGAATCCGAATTACTGTAAAAACACAACCGATTCCCTAATCCCCTTCAGTAAAGGAAACTACGCTCACACAGTGCGGACCACTGTGGTTCCAGTCCAATATCAATGTGGCTCACTCTTCCATTTAAATTGCTGCACAGATGCAGAGAGCACAACACAGTCTCAGGATAATTAGGGATGCTTAATAAGTCTTGCCAATAATGTTCATTCAGATAGTCTGACCAATGAAAGAATAAGAGGGCCAATGATTAGCGAGGAAAAAAATTCACGGAACAATGCTAACTGAATTTAAGAGCGAGCTTTGAAACAGCCTAGAATTGGTATTTGAACAACTCATATTTAAATGGCAGAGGAAAGAGGTCCAAAGGTCAACATGAAAATGGGGAATTCAGTGGGAATCTCATTGCCCTGTTTTCCTTGAGGCAACCCTCTGGAAATTCCCCAAAAGTTGGGAGTTTTCTGGATGATGATACAGGCCACAGGTAAAATGTAATAAGGTTAAATTAACCCTGAAGGAACAGAGCGTTTTCTGGCATTTAATTAATTTCCTACCTGGATCAGGGCTCAAGGTTAGAATCAGCACTGAAGCTGCATTTTACTGATCCAGAAAGCGCAAGACAATTTGATGATTTGACACAGTCTGAGAATGGCGAAAATTCCATCAATTTGTGCCTTGGCCCCAAATCCTTATTGGTCACTGAAACATTTAATTGCTACTTAAGCCACTTATGTCATAACATTCATACATGACACGATTGGTTTACTTGGTGAAAATAGGATGACGCAAGAAGATTTTTTTTTTCCTAATCTTGTAATAATCCCTATATTTTGCTGAATTGATCAGCAGATGGAAGTCCATGCAAGTATCTACCAATCATTGACTTCCACCCTAGATTGCATATGTCACATGAATAAGCAACATTTATGAGAAAAATGTTGCAAAAAAAATTTACTTTCCAAAATAACTGAATATTTTATGGCCATGGAAGGAATTTTTTTTGACAAAAGGAAAGTAAATTACAAACAAAAATTAAGATTGGTTAATTGAAATAGTTGCCAAAGACAAAATCCACTAACAATGTTACAAGGAAGGAATTGAAAGAGTTCACAATTAGGATTTACGCAGCAAAAGAGCCCCAAATCAAAATCAATTTATGTTTCAGCATCTTCCACTTGAATAGTCAAAAGACTATGGTAAACAGTGTTTAAGAAATCTTGATATAAAACAAAGTATATCTGAGTCCATCATAAAAATTACGTCTCAGAGTTGCTTACATTTTTATGGTTGACACACTTCATGAGGACTAATTCTCTATAAGCCCTTTTTGCATGGGTCTGGTTCTGAAATGGTCGGCTGAGTTTCTTTATAGCTACGTTCCTGTCCAGAATTGCATCGTAGGCTGCGCTGTAAAAGGAAAAAGATGCCAAGGAAGAGTATGTCAGAAGTGGCAACACTGAAACAGTCAAATGTATAAATCTTCAGACAGTGTATGTACCAGGAATACTATGATGGCGTTCTAACAGGCAAAAAGAATACCAAAGTAACCATTAAACAATAAAAGAGAATAAAAGTGTTATTATGAATTGATACCTTCTACACTTGAACAGCTCTTCAGATACAACTTTCCCAATCATATACAACGTGATATACCAGAACAGTTATTAGCATTGTACTTGGGATACAATGACTGCTTTCAGATTTGATCTAGGACTGTTTCATCATAACTTAATCAGATCAATGTGTGCGTTTTGGTGCAATGCTTTAAAGAGCATATGCATTTGAAATGTCCGGCCTTTCTTTACAAAGGAATCTCTCACTGCATGAGTCTGCAATTGGCACTTCTTTTTTTTACATTTAAGACCTTGGCCAGGGGAGCAGCCAACAACTACCAAGGTTCTGCTAATTATAGTTTATATATTTGAATAGTAGAAATCCACATTTGCATCCTGGAAATAATGTGCTAATAACTTAGCTTCTTAGAAGTTCACCTGGATAGCTATGCAGAGTGTTTTAAACACTGAAATAAAAGCAAACTACTGTAGGTGCTAGAGATCAGAAAAAGACAAGTGCTGGAGACATTCTGCAGATCAGAAGATGTTATTTCCAAAGAAGAGTCATTGCACTTGAATAATCAACTCTTTCTCTCTCCAGATCAGCTGTCAGACTTGCTGACTTCCTCTAGCATCTTTGGTTTTATCCTATGTTTGTCTGTTTCCTACAGTGGGAGTGAGATGCATTGTATGGTGTTATACTGTCTAAATTACATTCATTAGTTAAATGATTCTGAAAAGGGCACAAAAATACCTTGTCCTCAGAGAGTTGATTATACAAACACACAAATAAGGAAAGGGAGGGGGGAGCGTATAGCCCCATTACATATTTACACCTCTCAATAACCTTTCGCCCCTGCTTTTCAAGAATCTACCCATCATTACCTTAAAGAAATTCAAAGACTCTGCTTCCACCATCTTTTCAGGAAGACAGTTCCAAAGACTCAGCATCATCAAAAGATTTCAGCTCAGCTCTGCTTTAAATCAGCAACCCTTTCTTTTGAAACAGTGACAGCTGGCTCTAGAACAACCCAATGTTTCAATCAAGCCAACTTTTACTTTAAGCTCCAGTGGATACAAGCCTGATTTATTCAGCCTTTCCTAAGGTAACCTCCCTCATTCTACGTATTAGTCTGGTAAAGCTTCTCTGAACTGTTTCTATTGCATTTACATCCTCAATTAAATATGGAGAATAATACTACACATCGTACTCCAGATACAGATTCATCATTACTCTATACAATGTGATTGCAAACTCTGTTGTATTGAATTACCCTTGTAATGAAAGATAAATTCAATCAAGCCTTCCTGATTCGAAAAATAGAAGTTCAGCGGGTCTGGCAGCATCTGTGAAGAGATATCAGAGTTAACGTTTTGGGTCCAGTGATCCTTCCTCCGAACTGATGGTAGCTAGGAAAATGTTTGTTTATATGCAGAAGATAGGATGGGGGTGGGGGGCACGTAGGAGGAGGTAAGGAGTAGACAATAGGCAGGGATAGAGGCCAAACGAGAGAGAACAACAGTTGGACATACGAAGGAGTGGATAACGATCAGGCTAGGAGGGCGAATAGCTGCTATTGGAGACTGTTAGTGACTAGTAGTATGTAATGGCAGGCTGTGTGATAACAAGGCAGGGGGTGGGGGGATGCTAGGACTTGGAGAGTTGAGGCCCTAGAATTATTGAAGTCAATAAATCCGGAAGGCTGCAGGGACCCCAAGCAGAAAAGGAGGTGTTGTTCTTTTAACTTGTGCGGAGCTTCACTGGAACACTGCAGCAAACACTGCGCAGTAACGTGGGCCAGGGAACAGGGTGGTGTGTAATCAGGAAGGTTTTGCTGTCATTTTATTTGCTGCACCTGCATATAAAATTTAATGATGCAAGTAGCATAAAGATCCTGTATATACATACAGATCTCTCAGCATATTACAGCTCCGCAGCCTCTCTAAATTTAAATAAGCTTTCTTTTAAAAACTTTTCCTGCCAAACTGGACATTTCACATTTTCTGACAGGATGCTGTACTGCCAGATCTTTGTCCACTCACTTAACCTACGTATACCCCTTTGCAATCCCTTTACATCTTCAAAACTAACTTTCCTACTTGTCTGGTGTAGGGGCGTGGGGTGGGTTTGGTGTGCGCGTGTATAGGGGGTGTGGGTTTGGCATGCGCGTGTGGGGGGTACGTGTAGTGTAGGTTGTTAAAATTTGTCAAATTTGTCATCAGCAAATTCAGCAAGCATACCTTCCACCACTTCATTCAAGTCATTGATATAAATTTTAAAAAACAGTGAGGTCCCAGCATCAACCCCTGTGGCATTCAATGGATTACACTGTTCCAACCTGAAAATAATCCATTTCTATCCAGTTTCCTGTGAGCTGGCCTATCTTCTCTCAATGCCCATTTGCCAACTAAACCACAAACCCTTATGTTCCACAATAATCTTTGATGAATACCTTATTAAAATGCATTCTAGAAATCTAAGTACAGGATATCCCCAACATAGGGCTTCTTCAAAGTCCAATAAACTGGTTCATCATAAACTCAATATTCTGAAGAATCATGTTTGACATAAAACATTAACCTCGGTTTCACTCTCCAGAGATGCTGCCAGACCTGAGCTTCTCTAGTATTTGGGGAGTTTTTACGACTGAAATTTAGTCAGAGGTCAGCCAGCATGGCAATGTTGCTGAACAAATTTGCTGTTCCATGTCACTAATGTATCATCTTTTCCAGAAAGTCTCAGTAAATGCAGCCTGTTTACAATGCAGTAATTTAGGGCATTCAGAAGACTGATACTAGCTTCTCAAGCTATTTTCTAGTAGCCTCAGGTATCCTCAGATTATCGCGATTACTCTCAAATTCTATAAAAAACACAATGCCACTTTAATAAAAAGGGGGAATTTTTTTCATATTATCATTTGACATGGGCAGCACAGTAGCTCAGTGGTTAGCACTGCGGCCTCACAGCGTCAAGAACCCAGGTTTGATTCCAGCCTCGGGCAACTGTCTGGTGTTGAGTTTGCACATTGTCACCATGTCTGTGTGGGTTTCCTCTGGGGGCTCCGGTTTCCTCCCAGAGTCCAAAGATGTGCAGGTTGGGTGGATTGGCCATGGAAAATTGCCCATATAGTGTCCAGGCATGGGCAGGCTACGTCAATTAGCCAAGGGAAATGCAGGGTTACAGGGATTGGGAGGAGTGTTGGGCTGAGTGGGATGCTCTTCAATGGGCCAAACGGCCTGTTTCCATACTGTAGGGATTCTGAGTCTAAAACGTATTTGACTGCAATATGACATTGCTGGAGGTGAACACATTACCTCTTAATCAACACCTGCTAAAATCTAAAGGATCCAACATCACATATTTGAGGCTAAAGTTTCTACTGCATCTTCAACCAACAGTAAAAGATGGAGCTACGTTTTCCTCCTCTTCACAACAGCAACTTTTATTTGGTTTTCACCCAGAGAGGAGTTTCTAACCGTAGACCCGCATTAATACTGCCCCCTTTCACAGCCCTAACATCTTTAAGCTTCAACTCTACCTTGACTTATCTGCTGCTGATACCTTCATCTAGCCAACCAGAACATTCCAAGCTCACTTGCTCAGCTTCCCAAGTTCCAAGATTATGCTCATCCAAAGCATTGCTGCCTGTTTATCTGTTCAAGCCAAATCGCATTCACGGATCACTCCCGAGTTTACTGATTTTCATTGCTTGGCCACCTGACAATGTGTCAATGTTAAAATCTCGGTCATTGTTTGCCTATGGCCAAAGCCCCCTCTCAACATCTGTAACCTCCTCCACGCCAACAAGCTGAGACTGCTTTCATCCCAATCTGGTTTCTTGCACGTCCAATTTTAAAATCGCTCTACAAACAGAGGCCATGGTTTCAATTGCCTTGATGTGGAGGTGCTGGTGCTAGACTCGGGTGGACAAAGTCAGAAATCACACGACACCAGGTTACAGTTCAACAGGTTTATTTAAAATCACAAGCTTTCACAGTGTAGCCCCTTCGTCAGGTGAAGTGAAAGAGAAGCACACAAACACAATTTATAGGCAGAGAGATCAACAGATTGCACAAATGGTGTGGGTGCCGTGTTAAATAATAATTCTCTGCAAGTGATCAATAGTGTTAGACAGTGTGTGTAAAGTGTCAACAGCTGAATACAAGCAAAGGGTGACCTATAATCCAATTGAATGAGGCAGAGATAATTACAAACAATTTTAAAAATAAAGTGGTGCTATGACTGAAACAACATGATACGTCTAAGAGTCACATGCCAAGGGTCTAACCAAAGTCATAAGTAATCCAAAACTGTACAAACTAATTAAGGTAGAGAGATCATAATTTATCAAGGAGTCGTGTGACTTCCGACTTCAATTGCCTTGGCTCTGATCTTTGGAAATCTCTTCCTAAGCCATTTCATTTCATATCCCTTCTTCCTTATTTAAGATGTCCCTTAAAACCTACTTTCTCTAATCAAACTGCTGATCTTCTCTCCTAATACCTCTTACAGTGTGGTGTCAAAAGTGTCTTTACTGGTAGCAAACTTAGGGTAACTAACTATTGTTAATGTGTTAAAGTACTTGGTGCTGTCATGCAGAACATCACATAAGAAAAGGATAAACATGAGCAATAACAGCTGTAGATAACAAGGTGTAGAGCTGGATGAACACAGCAGGCCAAGCAGCATCAGAGGAGCAGGAAAGCTGATGTTTCAGGTCAAGACCCTTCTTCAGGAAAAAAAAAAAATTTTTTTCCTTCCCTAAAGGATAGAAGTGAACCAGATTGGTTTTTCTGACAATCGGCAATGGATTCATGGTCATCATTAGATTGTTAACTCCAGATATTTATTGAATCCAAATTACACCATCTGCTGTGGTGGGATTCAAACCCAGGTTCCCAGAGCATTACCTGGGTCTCTGGATTAACAGGCCAGCAATAATACCACTAGGCCATTGCCTCCCCCTCATATGACAATAATAAATCAAATCAGTTACAACATTTAAAAGACATTTGGATAAGTACGTAAACAGCAAAGGTTTGGAGGATATGGTCCAAGTGCAAGCAGGTGGGACTAGCTTAATTCAGGAACATGGTTGGTGTGGACTGGATGGACCGAAAGGCCTGTTTCCATGCTGTATGCCTATGAATCTACCGCTGTTCTAGAGATCAGTAATGAATAAAATATCAGCAGCATCATTTCTAAGCTGATTTATTTTTGGTTATTGGGTGAAGAACACAGCAAGATCAAAATACCATCGGTCGAAAAACAATACAGAATTATCAGTTTATAAAGGAAAATGCACAAACCCATTAAGAAAACAGTGGGAATACAGAGATGTATTAAACACTAGAGGTGCACTATCCAGAATACATCGGTTTTGACCTTGCTGTGTTTGAATACAGATATCAAAACTGCTAACTCACCAAACAATCCCCTGTGCTCCTGAACCAATGGGTTTCAAGTTCTGATAGCGCTTCAGCACAGTGAATGTTGAATCCCCAACCTCTACGCTGTAGAATTGGATGTCACGTTTGTTTCTGTTCATGATGTCGGAAGCGATTTGACAATATGCATTCACGTACAACTGCTTCCCTCCTCAACCTGCAGAATTTAAAACAAAGAAACGCTTAGAAGGGTATATGCAAAATGTTTAGTGGTAAAAACAATTTAAATTGCTTAGGTATCACAGTTGATCTGGACTTCCTATGAACCTCAAGGCAAGTTTACAGTATTTACTGCTTATATCAGAAGCGCTCAAAAGTTTTCTAAACTATCAAATTAAAGTTCCTTTAGACTGCAATATAAAGAACAATGCTACTTTTAAAACACTCTGTTGTACAAGACAATTGTTAGCTGGTTGCAAGTTTAATAAAATTTGAAAAAGACAAAAAAAAACTGTCATTTCCTATTCAAATCATTAGCTCCTAACTAAGTTAGCAACACCACAAAATCCAGACATCTCAAGTGGTACCAGGACTGGTCAAAGAATCTTAAAGTGTGAAGGTACCATTAAGCACACCATATGAGGCGACAAATTTACAAACAAGCTGAATCCGTAGAATCGCTAGTGTGGAAGCAGGCAATTTAGCCCATCAAGTCCACAATGACCCTAGACTGGCGCTATTTTCCCTGGAGCATTGGAGGCTGAAGGGTGACCTTATAGAGGCTTATAACATCATGAGGGGCATGGATAGAGTAAATAGACAAGGCCTTTTTCCCAAAATAGGGGAATTCAATACTAGAGGGTGTAGGTTTAAGGTGAGAGGGAGCATCCCAACTAGACTTACCCCTTACCCTACCCCTGTAGCCCCGCATTTCCCATGGCGAGTCCACCTAACCCACACATCCCTGGACACTATGGGAAGTTTAGCATGGCCAATCCACCTAACCTGCACATCTTTGGGCTGTGGGAGGAAACTGATGCATCTGGAGGAAACCCACACAGACTCGAGGAGAATGTGCAAACCCCAAACAGTCGCCCGAGGGTGGAATTGTACCTGGGTCCCTAGCACTATGAGGCTGCAGTACTAACCATTGAGCCAACACAGCACCCCATGGTTGAGCATCTAATGAAAACCACTAAATGAGCAGGACATATACTGTTAGTGCACAGAACCTTGACTCGCTTCCGCAATGAGTTCAACTTTAGGGGAAAAAAAAAACCAGAGCTGGTCAGATAGCATCATTCTACACAAGTCATGAGACTAATCCAAAATAGACCACTTTAGTCAAAATATTATTTTAAAAAAGGTTGCTTGAAAAGTCACCTTTAACTAAAATTGAAGAGTCTATTCTACAAAAATAATTTCACTATCATGTAAAGTTTTCTGCCAATGTATCAGTTTAACTAAATATAGGAACTAAGTTTATTTACTAGTTTAAGCTATTTCTAAAAGTAGGTTATAGACAATGGGAAAATAAATGCATTATTCCACAACTGAATGATGACCAAAGTGATGCAGCCATTAAATACCAGATGGAGTGTTAACTAAAATTGCACTTCCTTCGAAAATCTCAGTTACCATGGACACCAGGATGGGGAGGAAGAAACCTAGGCTGGCTGCAGTTGTATAAATCACATTGGTGCAACTCAGAGACCTTTATCCCTTTCCAATCCTCAAAAAGTATAGAAGGTTCACATAGGGGAAACCAACTTTTACAATCCAAAACAAAAACAAATTGCTGCAAAATCTCAGCAGGCCCTGCAGCATCAATAGAGATTCTTCAGAAGCAGGGTCAATGGACCCGAAATGTTGATTCTGGTTTCTCTCCACAGATTATTTGCCAGGCCTGCTGAGGTTTTGTTTCTGATTTCCAGCGTCTATGGTTCTTTGTTTTTTTCCCTTACTATTTAAAAATGTTTTGACCTAAAATGCTGCTGTGATCACTTGACAAAGCCAAGCAACTCAGATTATACAAAAGTCAGCCAGCTCAATTTACCACTTCAATTGAGAAGCGCCAAAATTCAAGGTGAAGAAATCTGCATCTCTCATTTGCGTAATTTCACATGTTGAAGATGAAAGTTACCTACAGAGTATTCAGTTTGGAAACGACAATGAAGCTAGACTGGAGATATTAAAAAAACATATTTCAGTATCTTTGAAAGCAGAGAGAAAGCAACATGAACTGAATCCAAGCCCTTTATACACACACACACACACACACACACACGAGTAAAAATTAGGAAAATCCCCAAGACATCTAGGGTATCTGCAAATTTTACCATTCAAGTAAACAGGACAGCAGGTACGACTTGGAGTTCACACTCAAGCATGAAAAATAACTAAGTTGCAACTATTTTCGTTCAACTTCATTTTGTCTGCACTAGATAGCCCCTCCTCCCACCTGCTTTGCAAGCTTTTCACCCATGTTTGTGTGTTTGTTTAGTTCGTTAAAATCTCTTTCTGGGCAATAAATCAGCATTTTCTCACTGAAGAAAACCTTGGAATTGGTTCTCCTTTCTTGTTGATGTCATTACATTTAAGTGACAGCTACATGGTGATAAAAAATTGTTACGACTGACAGAGGGGACATATTTAAAAAAAGAAGAGAAAGCTGTCACCCCTCCTCACCTCAACAATTAAATGCAAACAGAACTGAGGACTAAGTTGCCTCGGCTTTGAGGGCCTACTGCCAGGATTCAGATGCAGGCTTCGGAGAGTTATAACACCAGCTGAAATGGCTAAGATGGAGAAACATTTCAATAATAGGAAACAAGCAGCACAGATTTAACAGAAAGAACCTATTTGACAAATCTGAACAATCAAGGAGAGTAGATAATGCAATACAAAACATATCAGATGAAATCTGATTGAAGAGATGCTCCCTTTATGCCTTTTTGCAAAATCCTATTTGATTAATACCTCCATCACAAACCAGTTTACTCATTCTCCTTCAGTAGGTTTCTAATGCAATATAAAAAAGGCAAGACAGCCAAGTCAAAAAGTGCAACTGAAACTTTCACTTATGAATTTGACAAGAATGGAATTCATATTGTGTACTTGTGTGGGGGCTGAATTACAGCTCTTGATGGTCATCCACAGGAGGCCAATTGATCTTTTGTCAGTCCCATGTAGATAACTATCACCATATAACTAAATCACACATTTCCTCATCTACACATAGGGACTTCTGCTTAATTTCCACTTCAAAGGGGAAGCTCAGGCCTCAGACTGGGACTCAGGTCATGTACTTTCTTTTTTATAGAATCCCTACAGCGTGGAAACAGGCCATTCAGCCCAATAAGTCCACACTGCCCCTCAGAGCATCCCACCCCGACCCATCCCCCTACCCCTGTATTTTCCCATGTCTAACCCACCTAACCATCCCTGCACACGACAGACAATTTCACACTGCCAAGCCACCTACCCTGCACATCTTTGGACTGTGGGAGGAAACTAGAACACCCAGGAGAAAGTGCAAACTCCACACAGACAGTCGCCCGAGGATGGAAGCAAACCCGGGTCCCTGGCGCCGTGAGGCAGCAGTGCTAACCACTGAGCCACCGTGCCACCCTGTTATAAATCAGACTGGAAACCTTTTCAGGGATAACCATTATACCTGAAGACAGACAGGGACTGTTTGCAATGTAAACTCCCTCTAATGCCTCTCAGCTTATTTGCTGGCTCATGTCTTCAATGCACAATTTCCTAGTTCATTCTGTAGATATCACTGTCAGGCAGTTTTGACCAGGATAATAATCAAAAAAAAGTTCAAATATATCTGCATAATTCCAGGTATACAGTACAGTTAGTTAATCCAAGCTCACTTTAACCAATTGAGTTTACTCAAAACCTTTTGGCTAAAAGTGAGGTTTTGCTGTAACTGTCTTCTGAAAATCCAAGTCCAGCATGAAAAACACAATTCAAAAGACGACCATGAAGTTCCACAGATTTAGTTGGTCACTTTTTATTAATTCATTCACAGGACGTTGGCTAGGCCAGCACTTCTTCCCCATCCCTAATTATCCTCAATGAGATAGTGATGAGCTGCTGCAGTCTATGTTGTATTGGCACATTGTCAGTGCATTCAGGGAGGGAGTTTCAGGATTTAGGCCCAACAGTGAAGGGACAGAAATATAGTTTCAAGTCAGGATGTTGAGGGCGGTGGTGTTCCCATGTATCTGCTGCCCTTGTCCTTCTAGATGCTAACGGTCACCAATTTGGAAAGTGCTGTCTCAAGGAGTCTAGGTGCATCTTGTAGATGGTATACATGCTGACACCAATGCAGGGCTTTTCCACAGTTTCACTGATTCCAGTTCTGAGGAAGAGTCACTGGATCCGAAACGTTAATTGTTTTATCCTTCATAGATGCTGCCATACTTGCTGGCTTTTCCAACAACTTTGTTTTTGTTACAGTTTTGCTATAGCTCCTTGATGCCATACTTAGTCAAATATTATCTTGATGTCAAAAGCAGTCACATTCACTGCCCCCCCCGAGTTCACTGCTTGTCCATATTTGCACGAAGGCTGTAAGAGGTGGTCAGGGTCCGAGTGGGCCTGGTGGAACCCAAACTAGCAGTGATCAGGTTACTGCTCTGTAAGTGCCACTTGACTGTCAGTGCTGCAAGTGATACTCTCCATCACTTTGCTGATGGTCGAAAAATAGACCGACGGGACAGTAATTGACTGGGTTGGATGTGTCTCCTTTCTGGGAAGAGGACAGAGATATTTCACACTGCCAGCTGGCCATGGCATCTAGGACTGGAGCACAAATCCTCATTACTGCCAGAATGTGGTTAGGATCTGTAGATTTTGCAAAATACAGTGCCTTCAGGTATTTCTTGATAGGGCATGGAGGAAATCAAATCGGTTATGATGTTGATTTCAGGAGGTAGTTGAGATTAATTGTCCATTAAAGAACTTCAGGCCAAAGATTAATGCAAATGCTTCAACCTTATCTTTGGCACTGTGTGCTGGGTTCCCCCATCGTTGAGGATGGAGGCATTTGTAAAGCTCCCTCTTCCAGTGAGTTGTTGAATTGTTCAACACTATTTATGACTTCATTTGGCAGGGCTGCAAACCCTACATCTGATCAGTTGGGTGGGAAATTGCTTTGTTCTGTCTACTGTATGTCCCTTCACCTGCTTAGCATGCAAGTAGTCCCATTTTGTAGCTACACCATGTTGAAACCTAACTTTTAGATATGCCATTCCTGGCATGCCCTCCCTCAATGCTCAATTGAGTCAGACATTGATCTCTTCGCTTAATAGTAAAAAGGTAGAGATGGAGATATACTGAGACACGAGGTTACAAATTGTAAATTGATGTAATCCTGCTGCTGATGCTGAGGGCCCACAATGCCTCGGAGATACCCAGTCTTCGTGTTTTAAGATATTTGAAATCTCTCCCATTCAGCACAGAGGAAGGTTGTTTCAACATGAAGGTGGGACTTGGTCTCTACAATGACTGTGTAATGGTCAATCTAACCAATACAGGTGTATCTCTCACAGGCAGGTTGGGTCTTTGGCAATGCCATTTAGCACAAGACCTGTTGGTCAGCAGTGCCACTATCGAGGAATTCTGGATGATGGAAATGGAGGTCTACCACCCACAGCACATCCTTTTCCATTCCATGGTTAGAACTTTACCCAAATGCTGTTCAACATGGAAGAGAACTGTTTCTAATCAGCAGGTGGGTTGGGGTGGGAGGGTGCATAAGCACATAGGGGTAGGGGAGTGGATTATTAGTCAGTGCAAATCTGTAATATTGAGAACTCCCACAGCAACTCCAGCCAGGCTGCATACCACAACCATTATGCCACCTCGTCTGGTGGCTCTGACAGGACACACCCAGGGCTAGCAAAGGTAGTGTCTGGGACACAGTCATATTTATGGAATAACATACAGATGCCAGGCTGTTGTTTTATCAGTTTGTGGCCTCGCCTCCCAATTTTGGAAATGCCTTCATGTACCTGTCAGAAGGACTCTGCAGGGTGCAGAGAGCCATTGTGTACCAGTGTCATTTCTGGCACCTTTAATCAATGCCAGGTGGACCATTGCATGCCTTTTATCAGACTTTGTAACTGTTGGATTCAACTACAAGGCCATTTCACAATGAATCTAAGAGATACCACATCAGTGTGTATCTGCAGTCACATGCAGACCAGCCAGATAAAGATGACAGTTTCCTTCCCTAAAGGAAAACCAGATGGTTCTTACAATAATCATTTCATGGTCATTATTAGTCTAGCTTCTAGATCCCATCTGTCGTGGTGGGAATTGAACCTACAGGACCACAGCCTTACACTGACCCTTAATTCCTTGCCCAATGACAATACGACTGTACCCCTCTTTATTGCTCCATACATTTTATTGGAAAAAATATTTCAGGCACTACATACTTGATTTCGATTTCATTAAGTATGTACAATGATATGGTCTAGGTGACAGCAGACATTTTTAAGCATTACAACAGGAAAACTTATCTTCCCCTTGTAGCTGAACTTCTATTTCCCTTGAAAGTCATTTGAATATAGTCACCAGGGTTCCAAAAAATTGTTAATTTCCTTAAAAGTTCTCTTGGCTTCTGCAATGGAATGTCAATCTCTTTGAAAAGACTTACACCATTGCCTAAGGTACTTACTAACCAGGGTACAGAATGCTCTCATGTTAGCTATTTTAATTGGGCATCAATGACTGTGAGGGAACTGCAAAATTATGTGCTTCCAGCAGCAGCTGCATCATTTACAATAACCTTCCACTGGAACAGTATCTCACACTGTCATTCGAACAGTGTTAATCCAACATACAAGGCTTTCTTACATGAGCGAATTACAATATGGAACAAAAAGACTAGTTAAGAATATCCCAGTGCATGTCTTTATCCATGTCGGATGGAACAGCTATTCATACCTAATTCTGATACATCAATTTTTAAATCATGATTAGGCACTGAAATTTAAGATTGTCCAGAAAATTCCACATTATCTTTTAAACGAAATTTGCAAGAGTCAAATGAAAATTATTAGCATTATAAAACCTTAATTCCACTCCTGACCTGATTAAACCACTAACGTATAAACCATCAAGCCAGGCCCATACCAGTGCATATAGATGACTACAACGTATCAGCAAATAAATCCCACTGTTTTAGTGAGATATTTCACGATGTAAGAGAGACGCAACAAATATCAGTTATCTTGATTGTTGGGGATAAATAGGAGGAAACCATGCTCCAGAAATCTTTTTGACTGCTGTCTTTTCCAGTCTATTCATCTTCCTAATGCTTGACCATGGTACAGCACCGATGTCAAGGAGAAAAGGTAATTTGCTTTTATATAGGATATTAGTGTAGACATTTAATAAAACAGATCTCCAAACACCACATCAGGAAACAGATCTCAGCAAATTACGGAATGATCTCCATTGGTTTGTTATAGCAATTAAAACAGCTTATGGACAATAAAACGAGACTGACATTTATATTTAAGCAGTTAATGAATTGAGCAAAACATTAAGCAGCTGTTCCAAGCCCAAGTGTTTTCACAAAACACGTCCATTCAAGGTTATGCCTATTTGTTAGGTACTGCAATTTACACTCAGCTTAAGACAGTACTGAGGTTGTAGACTTGCTCACCGAGCTGGTGTGTTTGATTGCAGACGGTTCGTCAATGGGCCTCTGGTGAAGCATTTGTGTTCTGTCCCACTTGTTATTTATAAATAACTTTTATACTTATATTAAATTATTTATAAATAAATAGCAAGCAGGACAGAATTCCAACCTTTCAACAGGGGCGCACTGATCATGTTATCGAGCAGGGTGACAAAGTGTCTGCAATCAAACATACCAGCTCGACGAGCAAATCTACAACTTCATCCACAACCTGAGCTACAAATCTTCTCTAAAACCTTACAGGCAGTACTATATTCGATTCCTGTTGCCATCACTGCAGTTGGTTTGGTGTGCTTTATTACATTTTACTGACGAGCAGAAATCTTCATCAGTTACTCATCACTTGTGACAGTCAAACACATCACGCACGAACTTTGCGAGAGTAAACAGAAACTCTGTTTATCTATTGCAAGGGTCTAAAATGACACTTGGCTTAAGTTAAGTGATGCTGACTCAATAGTTCTTCTGGTGTTCGGAGAAACTTTCAGCCTATCTCATTTCTAGCAAAAAAAAAGGTGGCACGACGTGCTGAAAATCAGAATTTTTGAATAAAAGGACGAAATAAATACACATGAAAATCTGTCTAATTAAGAGACAGTATTTCAGATTAATAACGCATCTTTGATGTATGAGCGTGCACAGTTTTATTGAGGCAAAGATCAGTATCACACTGAAAGAGGGCAGTGCCCTTCAAACAGTGATTTCACTGACAGTGAACAGCTTCAGCAACACCTGCTTGGCTCTGCAATCCACTCAGGTCAAAGCACTAGCCCTTGCATGCATGAATGCACTTCTATCACGTCCCTGCCACAAGTACAGAGTGCGATGGAATATTCTTCACTTGCCTGAATAAGTGCAGTTCCAACAACGCAAGGTGCTTGCCACCATCCAGGCCAAAGTAGCCACTTGATTGCCACAAATTCCACAAACATTCACACTCTGCACAAAAGACAAAATAAAATGTTTTCTATAATCCATTATGCTTGAGAAAAGCCAGGATAAGGGTGACTTCCAAGCAAAGACATACCACAGAATAAAGGTACAGGAAATCAAGTTCTAAATGTGTTGAGACTTCCATCATAGCGCAGCAGAGTGGCTCAGTGGTTAGCAATATTGCCACACAGCACCAGGGATCCAGGTTCAATTCCATCCTCAGGAGATTGTCTGTCCGTGTACAGTTTGCACATTCTCCTTGTGTCTATGCGAGTTTCCTCCCACAGTCCAAAGATGTGCAGGTTAGGTGGATTGGGCATACTAAATTGCCCATTGTGCCCAGGAATGTTCAGGCTTGGTACATTAGCCATAGAAAATGCAGGGTTACAAGGATATGGTAAGGGTTGGGATGCTCTTTGGAGGGTTGGTGTGAACCTGATGGACCAAATAGCCTGCTTTCACATTGTAGGGATTAAATGATTAAAGTATATTGAGATTTATGTATAAAGGAAATCAAGTATTAAATCAGAAGAATTGGAGGAAAGTCAAGCTTGAAGATGATTACACTAATTGCAGGGAAGTGGCTTGGTAAAATAGTAGAAGGTATCCGGATTAAGAATCAGAAGTAATATTCGAAGCACTCTCAGAATTAAAGAACTAAGGCCAGTCAGTCCAAATAAGTAGGTCAAAAGGGAAACGGGTCTAGTTTAGGATGCAAGGTGGAGACAGGTGCCAACTGATGGACTCAACAATAGAACAGGGAGAGGTCAGTTTTACATCAAAGGATAAAGGAAGATTGCGAAGCTGAATATACATCAGTGGAGGAGATAGTAGGAACTGCAAATGCTGGAGAATCTGAGATAACGAGGTGCAGAGCTGGATGAACACAGCAGGCCAAGCAGCAGAGGAGCAGGAAAGCTGACGTTTCGGGCCTAGACCCTTCTTCAGAAATTTCCCAATTCCTTCGCCTCCGCCGCATCTGCTCCCAGGATGAGGCATTCCACTCCCGTACATCTCAGATGTCCTCGTTTTTCAAGGACCGCAACTCCCCCCACCCCCTCCACCTCAGTGGTCGAGAACGCCCTCCACCGTGCCTCCCGCAAACTCATCCCTCACACCCCGTCCCCACAATAACAACCAAAAAAGAATCCCCCTCGTCCTCACGTACCACCCCACCAACCTCTGGATCCAACGCATCATCCTCCGACACTTCCGCCATCTGCAATCCGACCCCACCACCAAAGATATTTTTCCCTCCCCACCCTTATCTGCTTTCCGGAGGGACCATTCTCTCCGTGACTCCCTCGTCTGCTCTACACTCCCCTCCAGCCCCACCACACCCGGCACTTTTCCCTGCAACCGCAGGAAGTGCTACACCTGCCCCCACACCTCCTCCCTCACCCCCATCCCAGGCCCCAAGAAGACTTTCCACATCAAGCAGATGTTCACCTGCACATCTGCTAATGTGGTATACTGCATCCGCTGTACCCGTCGTGGCCTCCTCTACATCGGGGAAACCAAGTGGAGGCTCGGGTCCGCTTTGCAGAACACCTACGGTTCGCAATAAACAACTGCACCTCCTAGTCGCGAACCATTTCAACTCCCCCTCCCATTCCTCAGACAACATGTCCATCCTGGGCCTCCTGCAGTGCCACAACGATGCCACCCGAAGGTTGCAGGAACAGCAACTCATGTTCCGCTTGGGAACCCTGCAGCACAACGGTATCAACGTGGATTTCACAAGCTTCAAAATCTCCCCTCCCTCTACCGCATCCCAAAACCAGTCCAGCTCGTCCCCGCCTCCCTAACTTGTTCTTCCTCCCACCTATCCCCCCCTCCCACCTCAAGCCGCACCCCCATTTCCTACCTACCCAACCTCATCCCGCCCCCTTGACCTGTCCGTCCTCCCTGGACTGACCTATCTCCTCCCTACCTCCCCACCCATACTCACCTTTACTGGCTCCATCCCCGCCTCTTTGACCTGTCTGTTTCCTCTCCACCTATCTTCTCCTCTATCCATCTTCTATCCGTCTCCCCCTCTCCCTATTTATTTCAGAACCCCCCTCCCCTCCCCCATTTCTGATGAAGGGTCTCGGCCCGAAACATCAGCCTTCCTGCTCCTATGATGCTGCTTGGCCTGCTGTGTTCATCCAGCTCTACACCTTGTTATCTCTTTTATCATACATCAGTGGATACAAGTTAAATGGCTCATATTTGCATACTAATAAAAAGGCAGGAGAGTCTTGCACGGAAACCTGGTGCCTGATAGAGATGTGCAGCCACAAATAGTGAACTCCTTCCAGGAAAACAAGAAACAACCCTGTGGCATTGCCACTGTTGGTTCTTACAAAGCTACAATCGAAAACTGCACTGTAATGCAAGACCAAAGATCAGGAGATTGAAGTGGTAGAACCTATTATCAGTAAATTTCCCTTTGCTTGGAGGTTAAACTGAGATCAAATTCAAAACAAGGAAGATGCAAGTACAATGTGAAATCCCTACAATGTGAAAGCAGGCTATTTGGTCCAGTGAAGTAGCACAGTGGCAATGTTAAAACATTAGAAACGGAGGTGCTAGAGATTAATAGTTGCAGAGGAGTGAGCAGGAATCAATGAGGGAGCTGACGACGGAAGTTTTGACGAGGAAGGGATTCATGATCAGACGACAGAGTGCCTGTTATTCCCCAGCCGGAAACCATGGGTCATCGTGGATAGCAGTGCTGCCCCACTATGCCAGGGACCAGAGTTCAATTCCAGCCTTGAATGACTGTGTGGAGTCTTCACATTCTCCCTGGGTCTGTGGTATCCAGGGACGTGCAGTCTAGATGATTTAGCCACGGTAAATGTGGGGTTACAGGAATATGGTGGGGGAGCTGGGTTGGAACCTCGCGGAGGGTCTGTGTGGACTTGATGGGCCCCAATGGCCTCTTTCCACATTGTGGACACTCCATGATTCTCCAATGGTAACTGGGAGATCCACTCCCTACTGCAGTCCAAGACTGAGGCGTTCAAGTCAGCTGACCCTGACATTAAGATTTTCACAAAACCAAGGGTGCCAAGAGACAATACCAGCATAGCCACATTGAACACGTCAACTGTGACAAGGCTTAAAATGATATAACGGGCTACAAAGCAAAGCCAAGTTGAGCAGAATCGCTGACAACAATGCATCCCTCCCTTATGAGCTCAATGCATTCTACACTGGTTTTGAACAGAAGTTCAGTAAAATGACACCACCTGCCTGAAAGCCTCAGTGTACAGGAAAGTGCTCCTGTACCTATAGCCACTGCCACAAACGTTAGAGTGGCCTACTCGAGCGCGAATCCACAGGAAGTGACCGGCCTGGATGGAGTCCCCGACTGTGCAATAAGATCCTGTACGGGGAGGCAGTGGCCTAGTGGTATCATCCCTGGATTGTTAATCCAGAGATCCAGACAATGTTCTGGGGACCCGGGTTTGAATCCCACCACAGCAGATAGCGGAATCTGAATTGAATAAAAAAATCTGGAATTAAGAATCTAATGATGATGACCACGAATCCATTGCCGATTGTCAGGAAAAACCCATCTAGTGAAACAGAGATCAAATTTAAAACAAGGAAGATGCGAGTAACTACAGCGAGGTAGCACTTTCAGGTTCACGAATGTCCTTTAGGAAAGGAAACTGCCATCCTTACCTGGTCTGGCCTACACGTGACTCCAGACCCACAGCAATGTGGTTGACTCGTAACTGCCCTCTGGGCAATTAGGGATGAGCAATAAATGCTGCCCTGGCCAGTGATGCCCTCATCCCATTAATGAATTAAAAGACAGCTGGTGGGAGTATCACAGACAGCTTTAACATCCCCTTACTCTGACGTGAGGGTCCCACCTGCTTCAAGACGACCATGATCATCCCGGTGCCAAAGAAAAAGCTGGCAACGCGCTTTAATGACGACCATCCGACATCCACCATTATGAAGTGCTTCGAGAGGCTAGTAATGGCACTCATCAATCCCAGCCTCTCAGATTGTCTTGACCCACTCCAATTCTGTGCGCTCAGTCCCTTACCATTCTCCTTATACACTCAACTGTGCGGCCAAATTCAGCTCTAACTCCATTTACACATTTGCTGATGACACTACTGTAGTGGGTTGGATCTCAAACAATGATGAGACAGAGTACAGGACAGAGATAGACAGCTTACTGGCAGGGTGTAAAGACAACACTCTCTCTCTGTCAGCAAAACAATGGAGCTGGTCACCAAGTGCAGGAAGAGGAGTGGAGGACATGCCTCTGATTGTATCAATGGTGCTGGAGGTAGAGGTGGTCGAGAGTTATGTTTCTACCAGTAAATATCACCAATGATCTATCCTGGTGCATCTACGTTGACACAACAGTCCAGAAAGCACACTAATGCCTCTACTTCCCCAGAAGGCTAAGGAAATTTGTCCACAATGACTCATCAATTTTTACAGATGAATCAAAGAAAGCATCCTAATTGGATGCATCACAGCTTAGTATGGCAACTGCTCTGCCCAAGACTGCAAGAAATGACAATAGAATTGTGAACACAGCCCAGTCTATCACGAAAACCAGCCTTCCTTTCATTGATTCCATCTATACTTCCCCCTTGCCTCAAGAAAGCAGCCAACATAATCAAAGACTTTGTCCCAACCCAGTTATACTCATTCCACCCTCTTCCATCAGGCAGGAGATATAAAAGTTTGTAATCACGTGCCAACTGCTTCAAGAACAGCTTCTTCCACGCTGTTATCAGACTTACGAATGACCTCTCACATTAAAGTTGATCGCTTTCTGCACCTTCTTTATAGCTGTAACACTATATTCTGCATTCAGTTCTATTACCCTGATGTATTTTTGCAAGATATGATTTGTCTGGAAATCTCAAAACAATACTTTTCACTATATCGGTACGTGACAATATAAATCAAATTATGCAGTGTTCAGCATTACTACATAAAAGCTTCCTATTCATACTCCCATTCAGATGGTTGGCATGGACGAGTTG